TCATGATTGCCTTATGAGCTTTTTAGTTCAGTGCTGTTCAGTCCTATTTTAGACGCAGTTCAGTCCTTCCTTAAACCTGGTTCAGTCTGATTTTAGACCTGGTTTAAGAACTGGTTTTAGAACTGGTTATAATTTTTTATTTTTTTTTAAAATCCTGGTTTAGATCTAGTTTTGTTATAGTTTGGACCTGCTTTAAACCTGGATAAGGCTTTGTTAAGACCTGGTTCAGACCTGGTTTTAGTCCTGATATAGTTCTGGTTTAGTTGTAGTTTTAGTCCTGGTTTAGTCTTTAGTCTTTGCAGCTGTCCATTACAGTGGACATGGCTGGTGGTTTACCTCTGCAGTCCCCTCATGAGTGAAGGAGGCTGAGTGTCACTGACTCCGACTCTCTCCAACAGGAAGTCCACCACACATGGGTTCTGGTAACCATGGCAACTGCTCATGATGCGCTCGTATGTCTCAGTCGAGTCATTAGCTGCGCGTAAACTTCGGCTGAAAGAGAGGAGAAAGTTAAAACTGTGAGTGCGTACACATGCAAATCAGTATCCCGGTTATGATCAGGTTTTTGAGTATCCCGGTTTCTTCATGGTGCATGTATACGTAGTACCCCGGGTTTCAGTATCCCGGTTATTAGAAACTGGGATACTGTAGCTGGTATATTCTGATAGTAATTGGGATACTGTGTGATGTATACGCAGTAACCTGGTTATTGCTACATAAAGCTGAGTGCGCATGCGTCCAAAAGATAAACAAACATGGTGGCAGAAAGTTTGAAGAGAAGCTACTTCTGGAGCGATGAAGAAACTGAATTTTGTATTTTAGCCATAAAAGATGAACCAGTTGGATGGGAGAAAACATCGCAATGCTGATTTATTTAAAAGGGTGGTGGACCAATTAACAGAGGCAGGATTTCCTTTTTGTACTGTTCAACAGGTGCGTTGTGATTGGAAGATTTTAAACAAACTATACTATCAAGCTAAACATAGTAACAAAAGTGGATCCAATCCAGCCAATTTTAAGTTCTTTAAAATTATGTTGAAGTTTAGGTCAGAATCTTTGTTCATAGAATTGTAAGTCTTACAGTTGCATTAGATCTATTGTATTAATATATTCTTCTTACAAATCAAATATCTGAGTGCTAAAAAAACACATAAAAACTATTGTATTTTTACTTAATTTCAATAACCATGTATGACATGTGCAACAGTATATTTATTGTGATTTTTATTCTGAGAATTCTTCAAATAGGAAGCTCAGTAGAAGCAGAATCAGTCATCTAAAAGAGGATTTTAACAGTCAAGTTGTATATTTTAAGCAAGAATTCAATAAAATTAAAAATAGTATTATTACAATCTTAATCTCTTAATATTTCTGCTTAAGTTTAGGTCTTAGATTAATTTGGTGTGGCTGATGCCCAGGACACTATCAAATGGTTGGTAGAGTGATGTCTTCAAGCAGTGTGTTATTGTGCAAGACACTTCCCCCTCCACCTGTGTGAATGTGCCATAGTGACTGGTGTGATCAGTGAGGCCATAGGCGCAGAATTACAGCCACATCTATGGATCTGCCCCAGGGCATCTTTAGTGTAGAAGAACTTTAACTGAAATTTAAGGATTCATATGGGACATGATAAAGGAGAAGTGTGTCAGTTAGCTGAAGATTTGGTATTTTAGATAAATATATGTTAAAAGGCAGTTTTATTTGTCTTTATATAAATATGTTGTTTCCTAGTACATTTTTCCTGCATCAATAAAAGGTTTTTGTATGGACTCCTCCTGTAGGTGTAGTCTTGTGAGTGCAGTTTTGATCAGATACACAGAGATACAGAATAGTTTTGAGAGCTGTGGGACTACTGCCATCTCTAATGCCCATCAGGACTTCATGTAGTGAGATACAAATAATGAGACATTACCAGGAACCCAAGGTGCATCACAGCAGTTAAACATGCTTTGTCCAGAAATGAACCAAATGGTACTTTAAAAGGACAGCTATCTTATCTAAAAACAAAACAGAACAAAAAAACCAACAAAAACAACTTTGATTTTACCAATGCTTATCTCTTTGTATCTCAAACAAACTGTACCAACCTTCACAGAAAATGCAAAACGTTATCTCTGCTGACTTTTCAAATACCGGCCACGTTTTTATCTTGACGTACTTCAAACCCTTACAATACAAAATTTCAGTGTGGTATCTTGGCTGTGATTGTTGCTTCAGATTCTACAGCTGCTATCGAAAAGGATTTAGGGCACAATGATAAACTGGTTTGATTCATTGAGGCCATTGAGTGAACCTAAATATGCCTCAAACCTCACAGGAATTTCAAGTTTAGGTGAAATGTACATCTTTTTTATCTTGATCAAGCCGTTGAAATCATGACATCTTAGTTAAAGGTGCACTGTGTAACTTTTCTGGTAGAGGGTCAGTCAAATGGAGATGTTCTGGCTTTGTCTGGAATGTTTCACAGGTTTTCTTGGCCATTTTGAGTTATAAAATCACCTGTTATTATTACTATTATTCAATCACTGTGTTGTGATTAATCAATAAACTATTATCAACTAAAATGAGAAGAAAACTCAAGATGCTTTACATACAGGGGGGTGTAACTTTTCTGTTGAGGAGTCCACCACCTTGTCTCCATGGAGGGGTAATTACTTTGCCAAGAGCGTTCCACTGTACGGCATTAAACTTTTCTATCTTCACTGAGACCAAACCAGACCAAGTTACAGGTCAGATTTGTGGAGAGGCGACCCCGCTCACGGTCACAATGTCTGTTTTTTTGACTTATAAAACCACCTGTAACTGAATAAACGTAAAGTAGAGCTGTTTAATGTCACACTGTGGAACATTCCAGACAAAACAATGACATATCCATAGAGACAAGCAGGTGACAGACCCTATATCAGAAATGTGCCTTTAAAGTTTAAGTTTCAGCACAAATGGTACACTTTTTATGGTATTTTCACATAATCACTGCTCTGTTGGATTCATAAAACCGCCTCTCTCAGTATTTGGAGTCTTTATAGTCCAAAAAACAGTTATAAAAGGACTACAGAATTATATAACAATTATTCAATGTGTTGTGATTAGGGATGTAACAATAACCGAAATATCCTGATTAGAGCCCGGCCGATATATCGGTTGGCCGATATTATCGGCCGATACGGGTACCTGGAGGCCTGCTTGCAAATATGGGCCGATATTTCGCGTGGGCATGTGATATGTCTTTAAAAATCTTAGATTCTCTACATTATGTTCATTTAATCCAATTTACAGACAGATAAATGTCCTAATATGTGGCTCCACATCAGTATTTATCTACGGAGTCATTTGTCTTTTGTCTGTGTGTGCGTCCGTACTGTCCCTGAACACACCACAGAGTCGTGTCACTCACGTGCGTTTGTTTACACCCGCATACACAGATCCAAACATTGAGATTATATTCTTCAACAATTGGTTTGAGTCTGGATTAAAAGGACATTTATTAGAGCAGACTTGTGATGTGAGGAGGAGCCTGTGTGAGCGGTGAGTGTTGGAAATATGTCGACTTTGAAGCTAGTTTTGGTGATTTGTTATGGGTTAGCTGCTGTAGCTCCCGCACATAAACAGACTGTTTTCTATTGGTCTGTTCTAAAGTGACTACATTGGCCGTATATTTGTTACTGGACCTGCACTGATATGTAAATGAGCTGTGAATTATGACATTTGCGCATATAATTAATTACCGCGGCGCGCACGTATTTACGGCTAAAGGCTAATAGCGCTAATTTCTTTACTAGTTATGGGTCGGTCGCGAACGAAATGACTCTTAGATCCGGCTCTTTGAAGCGAACGACGGGAGACTGATCCTTATTGGGAGCCGTGTTTTCTCTTTCTCTCACTTTTTTTTTTGTCGTCACGCCGCGTGCAAACTCGTAGTAGTTTGACAGCGGCTGAAAACGAAACTTTGAGAAATTTGCGTGTACATAGGATTAAAAACAAAACAAAAAACGAGCATATTTGGCTGTAGTTTAGCATAAAATAAATAAGTCCCGGGTTTAGTCCTTTTTCAGTCCTGGTTTAGACCTAGTTCAGTCCTGCTTTAGACGTGCTTTAGTCCTGCTTGCAACAAAACAATCTGAAGAGCCGCTTGGGAGCCAAAAGAATCAGCAGCTTTTAGTGAGCCGAGCCAAAAGAGCCGGTTCTCTAAAAAGAACTGGAATACCCATCACTAATGTCTAGAATGTGATGCAAAAATGCCATTAAGCCAACCTACTGTCTGTAAATATGATGTAAAGAGGCAGAATAACTATAAATGTTGCCTAAATAAACCCAATTTAAAATCCACCAGAGCCAAACCTAAGTTTTTTAAATAATTCAACATTTACAGTGAATTTTTACATCACTAAATATATCGGCGATTATATCGGCTATCGGCAGAGCCAACTCCCATTATATTGGTTTCATATCGGCCACAGCAAAATCCATATCGGTCGGGCTCTAATCCTGATATCATATTGTCAAAGTTCTCACAACAATATCATGGACCATCACAATATATTGAATTACAAGCAATAGTTTAAAAAAAAATTACATAGACCATGATCCTTTGCTCCATTTCAGTGCAGACTACAAGAAGAAATAACAGCTCTTAACACTTTTGAGTCATAGTTCTTTGGATTAAGGAAAAAATAACATATTAACAGTTTTGTTAGCTCCACAAAATATTGTAATAAATATCGTACCCTGAGATGTATATCATAAAAATATACTGAGAGATTTGGATATCATTACATCTCCAATTGTGAGCCTCTCCTCCATATGTGAGCTTTCCCACGATAAAGTAAATATCGTACTGTGAGGTTCATACCGTGACAATATTGTATCGTGAGACTTGGATACTGTTACACCCATAGTTGTAATTAATCAATAAACTAGTATCAGCTAAAATGAACTCAAACTTAAACTTAACTAACTTTTCTGTTGAGGAGTTCGCCACCTGCTTGTCTCCATGGAGAGGTATTTAATTAGTCAAGGATGTTCCACTGTACGGCATTAAACTTGTCCATCTCAAGTAGCAATGTACATTTTTCTACATATTTTAGAGCAGTAAAAACACCTCTGTCTAAATTAATGTAGGTAGATAAGTGTTATGCCATACTGTGGAACATTTCAGGAAAAGCAATAACATCTCCATGGACACCAGAAAAGGTTACACAGCACAGCATTAAACTCACACTATCAACTGTACAATCTATGCCGAAGTAAAGACAGTAAAGTTACCTATAGTGTACAGGAAGCTCCTCGCGAGTAACTACCCCCAGTTTGATGTGCTCAAGACCGGAAGACAGCGCCGCCTGGTACAGAGACACCGTGATTTTCTCCTGGTATCGGTCGATGTCCTTCACTCCAGCTGAAGAACATGAAAACCAATTTAGATTAAACACATCAGAAGTTCTTTTGCATTTCATTTTTCCTGCTGGGATTAGGCTGGTGGTGATTTTTTTTTTAATGTCTGCAAAATGAGAATATAGAATACAAGTTAAAAAAACTTTCACCAAACCGGCAAAAAGCAGGTTAATCTTTCAAATAAGTCTAAGATAAAACTGCTGCAATTTTGTGTAATTTACAGTTAATTCCCTTAGTACATTTGTGATGAGCTACAATGAAATCATTTGGTTATTGTCAACAGGAAAATAACATTCCTCCTATGAAATTCCTAAAAAATTCTGATATATGTTTTCATACCTCTGATGAAGTCTCCAATCTGGTAATATGACAAAGGATCATCATGGCTGCCAGTCGTGGGGATTTCTCTTATATGACAAAGAGCCTGAAAAGAGCAAAGCATTTCACACATCTATGGTAAGATTCGTTGTTTTTTTTATGTGTTTATATTGGGCAAGTATTTTCACACATTCTTTTCCAATGGAACATAGTATTATCCATATTGGCATTAGTGCAATCATAACAACAGAAACAACAACAACACATTTGCCCAAAAAGGAGTGGGAAGAAGAAAACTTTGATAAAAATATATATATATGTATTGGTGTCCATGATATCAGAGGCTTTTCCCAAATATTGATATTGATTTTTTTTTTTTGAGCCAATACTGATATCTACCAGTATTTAACTTTTAAAATCCATAAAAAATACCCACAAAGTTGAAGTTAATGTCACAAATTAAAGATGCATTGTGTAACTTTTCTGGTGGATTGTCTGCCATCTGACTTTTTCCATGGAGATGTTATTGCTTTGCTTGAAATGTTCCACAGTAGCATTAAACTTATCTATTATGCAGTTAATCAATACAGGTGTTTTTGTTGCTTAAAAACCATGAGCAGGGTCGCCTGTCCACAGATCTGACGTATAACTTCACTTGGTCACTTTTGTGTCTCCACGGAAACAGATGATTAATGCAACACTGTGGAGCATTCTGGGCAAAGCAACAACATCTCCACCAGAAAAGTTACACAGTGCACCTATAACTGTATTTACCTGGGATATAAAATAATAAGTTACATGTTTGTGTAAGGTATGATGTGCTTTTATTTCCAAGTTATCCATGAATCAGTTCAAAATGACAAATCTGATGCACTGAGGAAAATATGGGAATAATGAAATTGGTCGATACCAGTCATAATATTTACCGAAAGGTCCAAGTCCTCTATGTCTCTCTTCAGGCCTCCAGCGGTGCAGAGCAGAGTGAGAAAGAAGCCATATTCTCTGATGTTGTTAATTCTTCCCACCACAACATCCCCCTTCTCCAGGTCTCTGTACAGCATGGCTCTCCTCTCGTCATACGGCACCTCCATGAACAGCTCCAGCGGCGGCATTAAGGCATAAGGCTCTGTACAACAAGCAAACAAATGGAACAGTGAATACAAGTTTAGCTACAAGAGATACTGACCTGACCACTACACTCTGACAACATCTGGACACCAAACGGAGAGAAGGATAACGCAATTCTGCTAAATAACATGGAAAACTGGCAGCAGCAAACATTTTAGAGTGAATACATGTCACAAAATCAAATTTTAACATAATTCTTCTACACTTCATTTGGAAAATGAATACAAATAAATCACTGTGAGGTGAAAATCCTTAGATCTCCTTCAAAATGTGTTAGCTGTACATTATAATAAATCAAATTTTATTCTTGTTCTAGTATTATTACCACTATTGCCACACTACCACCACTCAAAACTATTATTTGTATAATAGCTTGAAACTTTATAAATAGACTAGAAAAGCAGTCAGAGAGCGCAGACCTCCGCCAAGGACTACAGTCCCCCTCATATTAATTGTGTTTTCCATAAATATTTGTCTCGTATCTTTCAATTTGGAATATGAAAGAGGATCCGATTGTCCATCCCTGAGTCAAATTTCATGGGGTTTGGTCAATAATTAATGGAGATATTGAGAAACAAAATTTTTGGCCCCATTTACCACAATGTTAACTAAAATTTCAAAGTGATCCAGAATCCAGGATTTCTTCCGGATCACCCCCAAAATGAAATCAGTTCTTCCTTTTCACATTTCCAAAAAATCCTGAAAATTTCATCAAAATCGGTCCATAACTTTTTGAGTTATGTTGCTAACAGACAAACAAACAAACAAACACACACACAAACGCTGGCAAAAACATAACCTCCTTGGCGGAGGTAATTATCAACCAAATAAATGTTGGAATATGGTGATTGAAGGCTTCAAAATAGTGAATATTTACAAATAAAGGGACACAATGTGATTTTTTCTTGTCTTTGCTTCTTTAGACTAGTTTTAGATTCTGTATTAAAATTACAATTTTCAAAACATTAACAATTATTTTTTCACAGTCAGCTAGTCATGATTACTTGATTAATGGTAACAATTGTAGTTACCACTTTAATATTGTGATGCATGTTATAATCTATAACCAGGAAAAATCAAAAGTCTCCAGTTTCAAAGACCATAGTTCAGAGTAAGTTTTTTTTTCCCTTCCTAAACTTTCCTGATCCAAAATATACCTGGAGTTGTATTTTGTTTCATCCGTACATTTAACACACAAGTCCTGCATATTTAGGCTGTGTTCGCTCAAACTGAAAACACTCTGTTCCACCTTGTGATGTTAATCATTGCATTTATATAGCGCCTTTCAAGATACCCAAAGCGCTTCACAGTTCATTATTCATTCACTCAACACTCAGTGGTGGTAACCTACTACTGTAGCCACAGCTGCCCTGGGGCAGACTGACAGAAGCAAGGCTGCCAATCTGCACCATCGGTCCCTCCGACCACCACCATCACTCACGCACACACCACGTTCATACTAGGCAATGTGGGTGAAGTGTCTTGCCTAAAGACACAATGACAGTTTTTTTTTTGCCACTGGTGTCCCCTGTGGCACCTGGAATTCCCAGCGGTCTCCCATTCAAGTAATACCCAGGCCTGGCCCTGCTTAGCTTCTGAGATCTGACGGGATCAGGCTTTGACAAACCAGTATGTCATGCAGTAATACAAAAAATGCTCCACTATGTTGTTTTTTTTTTTACACCTTTGCTAAAATCATGTGGACAATCTCGGCTGTGGAATTTCCAAAATCTACTGGCCGAAAGGTAAAAAGTGTCTGTTAACTTGAAAACTACTGCTACATGACATCACAAGAGCAGAGCATTTTAAGTTTTGGAGATGTAGACAGACTAATAATCCAGAGTCACTCAAACATGTGTAAATGAAACTAAACTCCGGGCATGTTTTTTATGAGGTAACAGCATTAGAACATGGCTAAAAGCTCACGAGAGTCAGTTTTGCATCATATAGGACTTAAGAGAAGACGTCATTCTTAAAGCCGTTTGATTTCATAGCTGTACATGTAGACAGTCACAGAGAGGCACCTGTAGCTTCCTCCTCTTCATACTCTGGTCTTTGGGGTTTACAGACTCTCCACGAAGGACGGAAGAGGAGGTCGGCTTTCCGGGCGATGAACTGCTCCACAAGGCCACTGGTGCTGTTCTTGTCAGCCTTTCTGCTCAGAAATAGAAAACATGTGGTTAGTATTGCACAGCACCACCAATTAAGGTTAAAAAGAACTGACTGAACTTGGTTGGTAGTCTAGAAAGGTTTAACACCATAATCAATCAATTAATCATTCAAACTTTATTTCAGACTCCAGTGGGTCCATATAGAACATTTGAAAAACAGACAGAAGACAAACAAAAAAGTAATAACGTTCTATATTCCATATGAGCAGTTCCTCCAGAGTTCAAAAGGGAACCTGGCACTGCTCTGCTCAGGCATTATTATTAAAACATTTAGAATTCCATTTGTGAATCCTTCAGGCGCTTCATAAATTTATATACAACATTTCTGATCACAGCATTCACTGTAGCGACATTACTGTGCACCACTCTGAGAGACATTCCAGACCAAGCAATAACACGTCCCTGGGGAAAAGCATTTGACGTACGCGCCACCACAAAAGTTACACAGTGCATCTTTACAAATCGTATAGACGTGTATTCGCTGAGCCCGGGCCTTACCCTTCATGCGTGGCCTTGCTCAGGTCCGCTGCCGCCGCCTGGAAGTCTGGGTTCTCGGTCTGTTCACACTGGAGCTTTTTAAACAGTGACGCTCCATGAAAAGTCACACTCTGTTTCAACAGTTCCCGGTCCATCCTGCTGCACATTCACATCCTACAGCTCGGACAGAAGAAGCCCAGTGTAGCCTCCTGCATGACTGAAATCATTTATGAACATGTTCTTTCTCTGTCGTGTCGTTTTTGTCTTTTTCATCTCAAAACTCTAAACTATCCGCCTAGACAACTAGCTTCTTTTAGCTATTTGTTAGCTCTTTTTAGCCAATTGAGCGCATAAAAACTGCCACCAACTCTAAGCACGTAGATTGGCGCCCCGACTTTAAAAACAGAACGAAATTATCCTTTAGCACAAATATATTGGTCTCAAATGAAAGATTAAAATATCAAAACAAACAAATGTGCGCTACAAGAGCAGGCGCACTTTCACCAGCGCGCATGCGTACTATGTGTTACACTCATATATGTCGTATAGAAACAAAGGCTCATCACGTGGATCCTGTTTGCAGTGAAATGATCATGGAAATTACACATTTTAGCCATTTTGGACACGTTTTCCAAAATTTATTTTCACTTAAAACAAACACATACAATTAATTAAATAATAGGCCAGTATGATGACATTAATTTAAAACATCAACTAAGATTACTTTTTAGTATTAATAATAATCACAGTAATGCAACTAGTTTATGGCACTCCTAGAAAGGTGGGTGGGTATGGTCATATTCGGTTCTATCCCAGAGCAAATTTTTTTGAATGCAAATAGTTAATCTGCAAATATATATGGCTGCATTGTGTTTAATTATTGTGATTTCAACCACAGACCAGTGCCCAGTTTGGTGTCTCTCTTCCAACTAGACTGATTCAGCCGCTATATTATTTAAGATCAACCTTTCTGTATCTGAGAGTAGGAACACAATGTACACTGTTTTAGTTTCATTTAGTTCAATCTGAGACTAGGCCTTGCACATTTATGCAGAATGTTGTTACAGTGTAAACTCTTGAAACAGTCAGAAGGACAGACTGTTATAGCTTCAACTTTTATGACATGTCTCTATTGTTATGTATGTCTACTAAAAGTTCCTCGAGTCAAACACAGGTGCTCAAGTAAATGTAACAAAATAGTCTTGATAGTATAACCCACCTCTAGTATTATTGTATTGTATTATTGTATTAGTATTTGAAGTGTCTTGCTCAAGAACACAAGTATCCTCTGGAAGAGCCACTGCAGCACCTGGCATTACCAGCAGCCTCACATCCCGGTGGCCCAAACCGATTTGGGTTCAAAGATGAAATGAGAACAGGCACACTCAGTGTAACACAGGTGTAATAATCTTAAATCCACCAACCTCACATTTCATACAGTTCAAATACATATTAGTATATTATTATAGTTTCAACTGACCACAACTTACCCACAAAAGAATAAATGATGAAAACTGTATGTGATATATGATCTGAAGATGCATTTTTTGTTCTGTGAAGGTTAAGATGCACTTTATTCTCCCCTAGAGCTGCTGGAGAACCTCCTCAGGAGCAGTGAGCACCACAGTCTTCAGGGACACATCTCCAGGTCTTGAGCTAGTTTTGGTCAGGACTACTTTAGCTGGAGGATTTGACCTATTGTGCATTTGTGCATGTTTTGGGTTGATGGGGTAAACCGGAGTAACCAGAGAAACCCATCCAGGGTGAACATGCAAACTACAGAAACACAGAAAGTCCCAGAACCTTCTTGCTGTAAGCGTGCCACTGAGCTACCGTGCCACTCTTTTGTTTTTCTTTTGTTGTGGCACTTGTCTTTTGATCTTATGAAAAATCAGAGAGTGAAGAACTTGGTACAATTAGGATACTTCAGCTGGAGATTACAGAAAAAAGAACATTTGATAAACAATCAGAGAAGTGACATTTCACCGTTGCACTGTGCTGTTATCTTTTTTTTTTTTTTTTTTTTTTTTTTTGAGCAATTAGTTACACAGTAAGCATTTAAAACATAAATAAAAAAATGCACAAATGTGTATTTCTGAGACTCAGCTGCATTCCCTCTCCAGCAGGACACTTGTTTTGGTTTTACCTGAGGCAAGTTGGATATGTCATTTTGACAGGTTTGCCTTGATTGGTTAAAAAGAAACTGGTGGATGGGCCCTTCGGAGTGGTTCACTCAGTCAGTTCGAGGTATTCTGCTCCAAGTCCCTCTCTAAACACTTTCAGTGAGAGCTGTCTCAGATGGAGAAGGTGTAGAAGTCAATTCAGAGTGATACATGTAACATGGGAGTCAGATTACATTTAAACCAGTGTTGTATTCAGTTTTTGTTTGTCCAAGACACACTAAAGTCACTGGGTATTTGGTGAGCTGTGAGGCTGTTGGTAGAGAGCAGTCAGGCCTGGTGCTTGCTTTTCCTCTGATTTGTCAAATCTTAAGCTGTTACAAGTGCTACTCTGAGTCCAAGTCAAAATCTTAAAGCTGGATGCCTGACTAAACTAAAAGAAAGAACTGGATGTGGTCTCTATGTTTTCCCTTGCCCCTGTGGAGTGATTTGAAGTGCTCACATGTCCAAGATGAATTCAGTAAAGGTCTGAGTCCAAATAGTTCAAACCCACATTGAAAAAGAAATCATGACTCTCCAGGGGCAATCTAAAATAAATGAAGAGTCATTAAAGACCAGTTTTCTTTCTTTACACTTCACTGTTCACACTTGTCTCTTGGTAAATTCTGGCAAGAGCAGTAGGACCCATCTCCAGATCTTGAGCTAGTCTTGGTCAGGACTACAGCAGCTGGAGGATTTGACCTGTTGTTTGTGTTTGGGGGGAAACCAGTGTGGAACAGAGGTGGAACCAAGTCATTGTCTCAAGCAAGTCTCAAGTCTTTGTCCTCAAGTCTGAGTCAGGTCCTAAGTCAAAAGACAGGCAAGTCCATGTCCATTCTCGAGTCACTGGCCGATGAGTCCAACTCAAGTCCATGTCGTCTGCTTTGGGCTTCAAGTCATTTCAAGTCTTTTAGCAATTTATATGAATTTTAAACTAAATTGTACTTTTAAACTCATGGTATATTTATATAAGAGTATTCATACATACATAGAGTTGTAGAAATGCAAATGTTTCCTTTTTAAATGTCTTGACAAGATCTTAGTGTGAATCATTACAGTGAGAATACAAAGAATTCAGATTTGTTTAATAAGAGATATTTTGTTGTGTAATCTCCACTGAAATGGAAAGTTCATGTTCTTTGTAGTTCTCTCTGTTTGACTGTATTGTACTGTGTATTAGTGTAGTACATTTGAGGATACCATCTCACAGTACTTCAGTTACATCCAAAGTAACAAATAGAGAAGTAGGAGAGACATGTTCCAGTTTGTTCCTTTAAAATTACGCACCACATTTATCAACTGTAATGAGACAAGATAACCAAGAGTAAAAGAATATAAAAATGGTAATACAACTTCTAGCAATTAAAAAAAAAAAAAAAAAAAAACAGCAAGAGAGTGGTGTCAAATAACCAGTGCAATATTTCTGATGTTCCACAGTATGCCACTGAACTTTCAAAACAAACTATCGATAGAGACAAGCAGGTAGAACTCCAAGGCAAAATTACAGGTCAGATCTGCGTAGAAGAGATCACATTAAGAAGTTTTTCCCAAGGCATTCCCTAAAACACATGCAATTGTTTGTTTATGCATTTATTTTGGGTAAATAAAGATTTACATTCATATACAATGGAACATATAACATAAATGAAATCATAATAGAAATGAAAATAACAACCCAAAAAGGAGTGGGAAGAAGAAAACTTATTTAATCTCACCCCTATTCTTCATAATCTAACACAATGAGATTCTTTTATGTTTTTCAGACACTTTGAATTCAACTATATGAACTATTTACAAGGGCAGACAAAGAGTCACTGTTAGAGTTTGGTAGTGTAACATAAGCAGGCCAACAATGGTAAAGTTAAGGATACAGACAATGGTAAGAAACAACAAATACAAGTCATGTCACGGACAGCACATACCAGCAATGATAAGAAAACAACAAACATAAACCAGCGCTACAGAGGCAGTATTGTTCTAATATTATGAACCACTCTACTGAAGCCGAGAGGGGTCACAACAAATGCAAACGCCGCAACAAATACAAATGCGACAACGCAACAAAACGTCACAATAAACCAAAAAAAGCCACAAAAGAAATGACAGCAGGACTCGATTTTAATTCAAACGCCACAACAAATACAAACGTCACAACACAAATGCAAACGCCACAACACATTAAAAAGCCACAACACATCAAAAAGCCACAACGGAAGTGACAGCGGGACTCTATTTTCCGACAGACCGATCAAGCGGCAAGTGAAGAAGAGGAACTACAACGTGAAATGAATAATGATAAAAAATGTATATATAAAAATAGATATACCCTAGATAAAAACAGTCTTTTTATTATAAACAACTCGCTGGTAATGCCCGACATAACCTACAGTATTGAGATTTGGGGCAATACATATAAGACTAATACAAATCCAGTCTTTATCAACTTACAACGAATCAACCAATGCGTTATTTATAAACCTTCAAACTCTGAAATTTTATGATTTAGTCGACCTTTATACTCTGAAAATCATGTTCAAAGTAAACAACAATCTCCTGTCAAAATCTTTACAGAACATGTTCAAAATCCGAAAGAGCCAATCTGAGCTCAGAGGCACGGCCATGTTTATCAAAAAAAAATTAGAACAAACATTATGAAATTTTGTAAATCTGTTAAAGGGCTGGAGCTCTGGAACAACTGTACAGAAAACCTCAAACTGTGCACCAGTCTCTTTCACTTTATAAAGAAGTTTAAATGTTTAACTCTGGACAGATACATGAAATATGAGACTGAGTTTGTGTCGTAGTACTTTGTTGTTCTGTTTCTGATTTGTTTGTTTCCTCTTGCTGTATTTATGAAGATGAACTCGTGTCAAGATGAAGCTCTGATAAAGGAACAAAGGGCATAATAAGCTTAAGCTTCAGCCTGCACCTTTTCAGTCTGTGTATGTTAAATATGACTGTCTGTGAAATAATGTCAAAATATACCTGTGACCAAAATAAATAATAAATAAATAAAATAAATAAAATTTCACTTTGTTAACTATAGCAAGAGTTTTGGAAATTTTAGTTTTTAGATGTCTTTAATAAATACATCAACCATGTTTAATGCCAAACTGCATCACATTCCAGGCAATGCAATAGCTCCATGGAGTCAAGCAGAAAAGTGACTTGGTGCAGGTTTAAAGGTAAATTGTGTAACTTTTACTGGTGGAGGGTCCGTCATCTACTTGTTTCTATGGATATGTCACTGCTCTACTTCGAATGTTCCACAATATTGCATTAAGCAGCTCTACCTTACATTTATTCAATTACAGGTGGTTTTATCGACCAAAAATTCCTAGAGAAACAGGTATTCTGAC